CACGGGCATAATCATACACCGGGTGTTGCAGTTGTGGTAGTGGTATGAATTTAACGGGGGAGTCGAGGGCCAACGGCCCCGACAATTCGGTGATGGCGGGGGACGGTAGCCCCCACAAATGCATTTTTCTGTCTCCACCACCATAACCACAACCTTAGTAATGTGTGAACAACAGATCAATGTTGGTGAACCGATATACATGGGTTATCTCCACTGTAATGAAGGTGAGTGGTGCTGTTCAACAAAGCTGTAAGTATATTTGTACAGCCACTATACTGCAGTCTTTTTTCGGGAAGACTGGTTCCCATTAAGTGAAAAATGGATCTCCCCTTCTCACGCATCAAATTAGAGCAGAAATGTAAATATATACACACAGCAGATTGAGCAGTTGCTAACATTCATCATCCATATTTCATTACAATATTTACCCAGGAAAGCACCACCGAGACTGAAGACTACGTGCATAGATCAAAATGAATGCTCTTACAGACACCACAGTGCTGCCCTGCAAGTCGGGCGAGCAGAGTTTAACGATCTCTGCGAGATCCATAAACTCAAAGAGTTGCTGTGTAAGAGGAGTGTGGGCACCGTACTCCGCTGATGAAAAAAGAGCTCCATTCTCTGCTTTCACAGATACCATTAAAACATTAACCTTGTTTATATAAAGTGTTTTAAAAATGCTTGACAAGTTTCTTCACTTCCTGTGAAGACTGTTAGAAAGTTCACAGACCTTCAATAATGCACACCATACATTTCATCAATGTGGTATACTTTCATAAAACATTTATTTGAGCTTATTTCCATTCACATTAATGAATGGCATCTCGGCTTAAATAAAATTAACGTTATGCACACTTGAAGGTCAGAAGCTGTATTCCTGTATAATCATCTGTTTGAATGCAAAATGCAACCTATATGTCACCCTTATCCAGAAACACAAATCAAAGTGTCACCATTGTCAAATATACATCTATCTGAGCTTGAGGGTGGAAATTATACATTTATTGGCAGGCACCGGTCTCTACATAGGATGACTCTTCTATTTAGGATGTATAGCAAGGTTGGCTACGTACTGTGCGAAAGAAGTTCAACATACACACATGAGGATTACAATAATCATAAGAATAACGCGAATGATTTTTGTCCAGAATAGCCTCCTTGAGTCTCGAGATATTCGTGTCGAGAATACTGCCATTGGGATGCTGTGATGACATTGATAGACGGCTGCAAACGTGGGAGGAGGAGCACCCGGAGAAGATTCCTGACCTTCACGCTTCAAGGTCGCCCCTTCTTCATATTTCACCGTCACTCGTGGCCATGTAGCGAAGCGTTTTTCTGGATTTTGTTGTTGTTGCACTGTCTCTCACTGTTCAAATAAACGTATCATTAAAATTATAGAGTGATCATTTCTTTGTCATGGGGCTAACGTACAAAATCAGCAAGGGATCAAATACTTTTTTCCCTCACTGTAGACTCAACACTATCATAGACACAACACTACCATAGACTCAACACTACCACCCATAGACTCAACACTACCATAGACTCAACACTACCACCCACAGACTCAAGACTACCATAGACTCAACACTACCGTAGACTCAACACTACCACCCATAGACACAACACTACCATGGACTCAACACTACCAAGGACTCAACACTACCATAGACACAACACTACCATAGACTCAACACTACCATAGACTCAACACTACCACCCACAGACTCAACACTACCATAGACTCAACACTACCATAGACACAACACTACCACCCATAGACTCAACACTACCACCCATAGACTCAACACTACCATAGACTCAACACTATACTATAGACTCAACACTGCACATACACTCAGCACTGCCCATAGACTCAGCACTACTCATAGACTCAACACTACCACCCATAGACTCAACACTGCCGTAGACTCAACACTGCCCATAGACTTATGGACCACAACGCCTGTGTCACCAGACTTATGGACCTCAACGCCTCTGTGTCACCAGACTTATGTTTGTTGCGGTTGCACCCGACTTAACAGCCGCATGGCTCACAGGGCTATACCTAATAAATGAAACTTGAGTGTCACCAGACTTATGGACCACAATTCCTCTGTGTCACCAGACTTATGGACTACGACGCCTCTACGTGTACAAATATATTTTTTTACCAATTTCACTTTACAATAAAATTGTAGACATGACACAATATATATTTCTGAATCTTTATTTTTACCAACATTTAAAAAAATATTCTCCGTTAAGGCAAAATTCTGAAATATTGGATTTTTACAAAGCCTTGTGAATTCACCTTGTATCTGAACAAGTTCAATTTGTGCAAATATGTTTTTTCAAACGTATAAATAAAAAAGACATTGCTTACAAATATCAGCCCTATGTTTTCAAGTCAATACAGTTTGGGTAGTGAATAAATTATAGTCTAAATAAGCTACACAAGACGAATTGTAGGCAATTATAGTTATAATCAAAGACGTTTTTAAACAATCACGTGGTCCCTGTAGTCGCCGTTAGAAACACAATCTGCTTGAAAACAGTTTATCAACATATATCAATACATTGATTCGAATAAGCAGAGTTAATTTCCTATTTATGGCATGCCAGTTATGTGTCAGTTTTCGATATCAACATCACCTTATAAAAGAATAACATTTAAAATATAAGCGCACAACTTTTTCCGTGATGAACGCTGCACTTTGTCGTTTTTACGCAGGGGGCGCTGTAAACCTACACGCACCCCCTGCATGCGAACGACAGACGGGCACACCTGGCTACCCCAGTAACATTCACCACAATATGCGCAGTCTGCTAAACGGCAGATGTAAAACATAACGTTGCGTCATTCGCAACGCATGTTGGTGTCACGGTCAAAATTGGGGCAATTCCAAACATTATCCAGCACCCCCTGTACCAACGACGGAGGCGCAGGGACAGACGCTCGATTACGTTGGAATCAATCTGCAGGCGGCCAGCAGCTCCGTGTCGCCTTATCTCGATCCCGCAATCCCAACCAGGTGAAAGTCCGCATCGAACCGAACCCCCGGCAAGGCCATTGTCTACTTAACGACGAGAGAAAATTCACGCAAAATATCCTTCTCAACGAAGCCTTCCGGATGTAATATGAAATAAGCTTTTAATGAAGAAATAACAATCATCTAATTCAAAACACAACACGATTCAAAGATGTTTCATTTTAAAACTTCAAAACGGAGCACGGGGCGCTGGCGTGAATGCGTCCTTCGTGTGCCGTAAATGTTGTGACTTTCCTGGCCGAAGGCCCTAAAATGCTTGGACCCTTATTGGTGCACAGCAACTCAACTGCAACAGTGGGCCTTGCTTCAACCGATAGGTAACATCCAGACGTGAATCAGCAAGGTGCATTTCTAGTCCTAGTTAGACAAAATCTACGTCAACACATAACACAAAATGACAATTCGTGTTGTAGAGAATGCATCTCCGCTACGTGTAACTTTTAAATGGTATGCCTTGTAACTGATGACTGATCCGAGCGTGCTCCCTATTTCAAAGACGATGAGTTGCTTCAGAGGCCGACGCTTCGTGAAACACAAAAGTACCCTTTGACCTGTATCACAAGAACAACGGGTCTCACCTGAGTTCTCTGTACAGATTACTTCCAAACAGACACACTTTGTCCTAACATCACTTATTCAGTGTTTGACCCTCAGACAAAATGTTACATGCACACGCACAATCAGACAAGCATTCATTTGAAATTATTGACAGGCATTTTAACAAAATTGAAATACTGCAGTGAAATATACTGCATCAGGTTACATCGTATTAACAATAAGCTATTTTTAAAAAAATATGCACCGTCTACTTAACAGTGTATGTACAACGTACTATTGCCATTTGCACGCTGGCGTCTCGGTCAAAATTGATAACATTCTAAACATTACCTACAAAGTCACGTAGAAGGGAAATAATAAGATAATAAAAATAATCAAATAAAATTCTCACGACGTTCGCAAGCAGCCAAAACGTCGTGAGAATTTTATTTTGTTTTATTTTTATTATCTTATTATTTAGCTTCTACGTGGTGACTTTACCGAAAGAACCAAGAAGATGAATCCCTGCAGTCACGAAAGCTATAAATCGAAAAATTACCTACAAACTCCACAACTAAGATGCCACATCAACCAACGCCCCCTACTGACAGGCTCTTGTTCACATGCAGGCCGGTGCAGGGCCACCATCTTGTGCCACACAGGGGCAGCTGCTACTTGGGGATGCTCTTCGAGTGTTTCAGACGGGATACAAAACTCCGAGTTGCTGAGACAATCTAGATTTGAAGTTTGTGACTGCAGGGATCCAAACTCCTTGGTTCTTTCGGTAAAGTCAAGTAGAGGCGATTAAGCAGGCACCATATAAATGTAATTGAAAAAATATTGAATGCTTGGGAGCTTAGTGGCTCTCGCTCCTGGTTAGAGATCAACCCAACCCACAGGTCCACAAAGATTGGCCGCTCTTTACTCTGCAGGTTGAACCTAGGAACAGAGTGTTCAACTTCACATTCTTGTCATTAAAGGCCTGTGACAAAGGTGCATCTATTGTAGCGACATCGTGTCTGGCTTACACATCTACCAGGTCTCCACTTGACTTTGTATTGTCTAGGAGCAAGTCCACCCACACCTCCACTTCCACAAACTGCTGGGAGTTGCCTCACTCTGCCTCACAGTCAGAATTCTCCTCCTGCTTCACGTTGCCTTCATCAATGTGAAGGTCCCATTTTGGAGTTGAATCTTCATCTTCACATTTCACCATCACTTCTTCGCTCTTCACCATCACCTGTTCATATTTCACCTCGGTTCCTTTTCAGTGTCAAAGCTGTGATTTTTCTCCGGTTCTTGTATCATGAGGGATAGGCTCTTTGTGGAACTTTGACTTTCACAAGCTGATTTCAGACTCCACTCCTTGCAGATCTTCTGATGCTTCTGTGTTCTCTGGTGCACTTGAAGATTTGATGAATCTGCAAACGCCTTCCAGCAGAGTGCAGCTGAAGGGTTTCTCTCCTGTGTGTGTTCTCTGGTGTTTTTTAAGAACAGATGACTGTGAAAATGCCTTTCCACACACACTGCACTTGAAGGGTTTCTCTCCCGTGTGTGTTCTCTGGTGTCTTTGTAGATTTGATGACTGTGAAAATGCCATCCCGCACAGAGTGCACCTGAAGGGTTTCTCTCCCGTGTGTGTTCTCTCGTGTCTTTTAAGATGTGACACATGTAGAAACGCCATCCTGCACAGAATGCACCTGAAGGGTTTCTCTCCTGTGTGTATTCTCTGGTGTACTTTAAGATGTGATGACTGTGCAAATGCCATCCCGCACACACTGCACCTGAAGGGTTTCTCTCCCGTGTGTGTTCTCTGGTGTGTTTTAAGAACAGATGAATGTGCAAACGCCTTCCCACACACACTGCACTTGAAGGGTTTCTCTCCTGTGTGTGTTCTCTGGTGGGTCTGAACAACTGATGAATGTGCAAACGCCTTCCCGCACAAGGTGCACCTGAAGGGTTTCACTCCCGTGTGTGTTCTCTGGTGGGTCTGAAGAACTGATGGCCATGCAAATGCCTTCCCACACACAGTACACTTGAAGGGTTTCTCTCCTGTGTGTGTTTTCTGGTGTATTTTAAGAGCAGATGATTGTGAAAATGCCTTCCCACACACAGTGCACTTGAAGGGTTTCTCTCCTGTGTGTGTTCTCTGGTGGGTCCCAAGAACTGATGGCCATGCAAATGCCTTGTCACACACAGTGCACTTGAAGGGTTTCTCTCCTGTGAGAGTTCTCTGGTGCTGTGTATAATTTCCAGTCCGATCCGTGCTGTATGCACGCCGGTCGCAATGTTGACTTGTCGTACCGAGCTGCTGTGCTGACTGCCTTTGCTCCATCAGACCAGCGTCAGCTGCAGACAGAAAATAAGAATATCCACACCATCTATACGTCAGTATCGAGGCACAGAGGAAAGCATATATACATTCACATGTGACTTACACGTCTATACTTATTCATATATTCATGATGTAGTGAAAACGTTTCCCAAATTCATCACAGGGCTGTTATGGCACACAATGAGAGGGAAAATGTCATTAATACGCCTCGAAGCCCTCGTATCTTCAAAATGAATGTTAACTCAAAACTCCGAGTACACAATTTTGGCTGTCTGGCTACAAAAGGAATATTTATAAGAGCTAAATTCAGCTGACATAGCAAAGGGTGTTGAAAACAATACCATTTGTGTTATGCATAAATTAATGTTCAATCGCAGCTTAGAGGTGTGAATCCAGGCTCAGATGTCCTTGAATGCTGGGGATGAACAGTTCCGACTTCAGCTGAATGTGTGTGCTGTGTTCACCTCCTGTTTCCATTCTTACAAAGAGTTCCAGAGGAAAACAAAAATAAACTATTGTTTTGATATAACTTCCGTGTTCAAAAGAGTTAATAGACTTTACTTCAAACACAAACTTGACACTGTCACACACTGGCAGTGGCGTGTCTAGAATCATGCCTGGCCACCTTCATCTGCTCGGCATTAATGCTTTCTCACTCCACCAAGTAATTAATCGAGGATCAATGAACATAGCCGAGGCTAACTGGAGTTTGCGTGTCTCTCTCCATGGTGAGATGTTAACTACCTCACCTGGTGTACAGGAAGTCGTGGGTTCGATCCCGACCCTGACGCCTGCTGTATATTTGGAGTTTGCGCGTCTCTCCGTCTATCGTCTTTGACCGATAGACATTGACACACGTATTCTTGTTTCTTTCAGTAAAGTTACGTAGATAGAAAATAACAATAACAGATAATACAATTACATTAAATAAAGACCACTTGTGTTGCAATCAAAACGTGAGTTTTTTTGCTTTATTTACAATTTATTTTTATTTATTTTAATTTTATTTTCTATCTACGTGACTTTACCGAAAGAACCAAGAATATTAATTCCTGCAGTCACCAAAGTTTTAAGTCAAAACATTCACACACGTTGACAAAGCCTCACCTTGTGTTGTTATGGGCAGGTCGCTTCTGATAACAAGAGCGGTATAGCAGCTCAAGCGGGCTTGGCCTGGTAACAAAAGAAAATAAAAACTGCGTGAATATTTACAATAAAAAAAAGTTACAAAGTGGCGAGCCGGGTGAAGACAAATTAAACTTAAGCGAGATAATTAAAGTGAATGCAAATCAGGCGAGGGTAGGAGGCAAGGCCCCGCGTGGCTAGGCCCCGCGTTGTAAAGTTCCAACCTGGACATCGATTCCCATGCTCGCTGCTACTCAACTGACATCCCTACGAGAGAGGCTCTACCTTGGTAAACAACAACAACCACCACCACCACAACTATGAGAATTTCTCACCTCGGATTTCAGTGCAAGCGCGCACACGGCAGCTTCCTGTTACCTCGCGACAGCAGGAAGTAGTATGACGTCACTTCCCTCCCACGAGCGGCTAAATGAATAAATTATGTTAATGAGGCCGGCCCAAACTGGGAGGGATGTGTGTGTGTACACTGTGTGTGTGTACACTGTGTGTGTGTACATTGTGTGTGTACACTGTGTGTACAGTGTGTGTCTACACTGTGTGTACACTGTGTGTGTGTGTGTGTACACTGTGTGTCCGCATTGAACCGAACCTCCGGCAAGGCCATCCACTTAATGACGAGAGAAAATTCACACGAAATGTCCTTTTCAGTGAAGTCTTCCAGATGTAAATTGATACAAGCTTTTAATGAAGAAATAAAATCATCCAATTCAAAACAAAACACAATTCAAAGATGTTTCATTTTAAAACTTCAAAACGGAGCATGGGGTACTTGCGTGAATGCGTCCTTCGTGTGCAAATGTTGTGACTTTCCTGGCCTGAAGGCCGTCAATGTGATGGACTATTATTGGTGCACAGCGTCTCAACAACAGCAGTGGGGTTTGCTTCAACCGATAGGTACGAACATCCAGACGTGAATGAGCAAGGTGAATTTCTAGTCCCAGTTAGACAAAATCTACGTCAACACGTAAGACAAAACTACAATTCGTGTTGTAGAGAATGTACCTCCTCATATACGTGTAACTTTTAAGTGGTATGCCTTGTAACTGATGAATGATCCGAGCGTGCTCCCTATTTCAAAGACAATGAGTTTCTCCAGAGACCGACGCTTCGTGAAACACAAAAGTACCCTTTGACCTGTATCACAAGAACAACGGGTCTCACCTGAGTTCTCTGTACAGGTTACTTCCAAACACACACACACACTTTGTCCTAACATCACTTAATCTAGATTTGACCCTCAGACAAAATGTTACATGCACACGCACAATCAGACAAGTATTCATTCTAAATTATTGACAGGCATTTTAACAAAATTGAATTACTGCAGTGAAATAGACTGCATCAGGTTACATCGTATTAACAAAAAGCTATTTTTAAAAGATATGCGCCGTCTGCTTAACAGTGTATGTACAACGTACTATTGCCATTTGCATGCTGGCATCTCGGTCAAAATTGATAACATTCTAAACATTACCTACAAAGTCACGTAGAAGGGAAATAATAAGATAATAAAATAATCAAATAAAATTCTCACGACGTTTTGGCTTCTTGCGAACGTCGTGAGAATTTTATTTTATGTTTAATTTTTATTATCTTATTATTTCCCTTCTACGTGACTTTACCGAAAGAACCAAGACGAAGAATCCCTGCATTCACGAAAGCTTTAAATAGAAAAATTATCTACAAACTCCACAACTAAGATGCCAAATCAACCAACACCCGCTACTGACAGGATCTTGTTCACATGCAGGCCGGTGCAGGGCCACCACCTTGTACCACACAGGGGCAGAGTTGCTGAGGTAATCTTGATTTGAAGTTTGTGACTGCAGGGATCCATACTCCTTGGTTCTTTCGGTAAAGTCACGTAGGGGCGATTAAGCAGCCACCATATAAATGCAATTGATAAAATAGTGAATGCTGGGGAGCTTATTGGCTCTCGCTCCTGGTTAGAGATCAACCCAACCCACAGGTCCACAAAGACTGGCCGCTCTTACTCTGCAGGTTGAACCTAGGACCTGAGTGTTCAACTTCGCATTCTTTTCATTAAAGGCCTGTGACAAAGGTGCATCTATTGTAGCGACATCGTCTCTGGCTTACACATCTACCAGGTCTCCACTTGACTATGTATTGTCTCGGAGAGTCCACCCACACCTCCACTTCCACAAACTGCTGGGAGTTGCCTCACTCTGCCTCAGTCAGAATTCTCCTCCTGCTTCACGATGTAAAGGTCCCATTTTGGAGTTGAATCTTCATCTTCACATTTTACCTTCACTTCTTCGCTCATCACTTCTTCCCTCTTCATCATCACCTCTTCATATTTCACCTTGATAACTTTAAAAGTGTCCAAGCTGGGATTTTCTTCCGGTTCTTGTTTCATGAGGGATGGGCTCATTGTGGCACTTTGACTTTCACAAGCTGATTTCAGACTCCACTCCTTGTGGATATTCTGATGCTTCTGTGTTCTCTGGTGTACTTGAAGATTTGATGAATGTGCACATGCCTTCCCGCAAACACTGCACTTGAAGGGTTTCTCTCCCGTGTGTGCTGTCTGGTGTTTTTTAAGAGCAGATGACTGTGAAAATGCCTTCCCACACACAGTGCACTTGAAGGGTTTCTCTCCCGTATGTGTTCTCTGGTGTGTTTTAAGAGCAGATGACTGTGAAAATGGCTTCCCACACACACTGCACTTGAAGGGTTTCTCTCCCGTGTGTGTTCTCTGGTGTTTTTTAAGAGCAGATGACGGTTAAAATGCCTTCCTACAAACACTGCACTTGAAGGGTTTCTCTCCTGTGTGTTTTCTGGTGTCTTTGAAGATTATATGAATCTGGAAATGCCTTCCCACACACAGTGCACTTGAAGGGTTTCTCTCCCGTGTGTGTTCTCTGGTGTGTTTTAAGAGTAGATAAATCTGAAAATGTCTTCCCACACACACTGCACCTGAAGGGTTTCTCTCCCGTGTGTGTTCTCTGGTGTGTTACAAGAGGAGATGACTGTGAAAATGTCTTCCCACACACACTGCATTTGAAGGGTTTCTCTCCCGTATGTGTTCTCTGGTTTTTTTTAAGAGCAGATGAATCTGAAAATGTCTTCGCACACACACTGCACTTGAAGGGTTTCTCTCCCATATGTGTTCTCTGGTGTGTTACAAGATTACATGACTGTGTAAACGCCTTCACGCACACATTGCACTTGAAGGGTATCTCTCCTGTGTGTGTTCTCTGGTGTTTTTTAAGAGTAGATAAATCTGAAAATGCCTTCCCACACACAGTGCACTTGAAGGGTTTCTCTCCTGTGTGAGTTCTCTGGTGCCGTGTCAAATTTCCAGTCCGGTCCGTGCTGTATGCACACCGGTCGCATTGTTGACTTGTCGTACCGAGCTGCGCTGAGTGCCTTTGCTCCATCAGACCAATTCTGCAGAGGAAGCGTCAGCTGCAGACAGAAAAAAAGAATATCCACACCATCTACACGTCAGGCACAGAGGAATGCACACGTGACTTACACGTCTATACTTATTAATATATTCATGATGTAATGAAAATTTTCTCAAATTCATCAGATTTGATGAACGTGCTAACGCCTTCACGTACAGAGTGCACCTGAAGGGTTTCTCTCCACGGGCTGCTATGGCACACAATGAGAGGGAAAATGTCATTAATATGCCTGGAAGCCTTCATATCTTCCAAGATGAATGCTAACCCAAAACTCTAAGCACACAAATTTGGCTGTCTGACTACAAAATGAATATTTATGAAAGCTAAATTCAGCTGACATAGCAAATGGTGTTGAAAACAATACTATTTGTGGTTTGCATAAATGCATGAATTAATGTTCAATCGCAACTTAGAGGTGTGAATCCAGGCTCAGATGTCCTTGAATGCTGGGATGAACAGTTCCGAATTCAGCTGCATGTGTGTGCTGTGTTCACCTCCTGTTTCCATTCTTAGTAAGAGTTCCAGAGGAAAACAAAAATAAACTATTGTTTTGATATAACCTCCGTGTTCAACAGAGTTAATAGACTTTACTTCAAACACAAACTTGACACTGTCACACACTGCCATGGGTAAACAGGTGGCGGTGTGACCAGAACCATGCCTGGCCACCTTCATCTGCTCAGCATTAATTCTTCCTCACTCCACCAAGTAATGAATCGAGGATCATCAACATAGCCGAGGCTATCCGTGTCTCTGTCTCTCTCTCTCCCCGTGGTGAAGTGTTCCCCTCCACACATTCAGAGTCAACAGCGGCACGCGCTTAGCGTCTTTGACCGATAGACACATTGACACACGTATTGTTGGTTCTTTCAGTAAAGTCACATAGATAGAAAATAAAAATAACAGATTAAATTCAATAAGATAAAGACCACTTGTGTTGCGATCGAAACGTCGTGGGTTTTTTGCTTTATTTTCAATTTTTTATTTTATTGTTATTTTAATTTTATTTTCTATCTACGTGACTTTACCGAAAGAACCAAGAATATTAATTCCTGCAGTCACCAAAGTTTTAAGTCAAAACATTCACACACGTTGACAAAGCCTCACCTTGTGTTGTTGTGGGCAGGTCGCTTCTGATAACAAGAGCGGTATAGCAGCTCAAGCGGGCTTGGCCTGGTAACAAAAGAACGAAAATAAAAACTGCGTGAATATTTACAATAAAACAAAGTTACAAAGTGGCGAGCCGAGTGAAGACAAATTAAACTTAAGCGAGATAATTAAAGTGAACGCAAATCAGGCGAGGGCAGGAGGCAAGGCCCCGGGTGGCTAGGCCCCGCGTTGTAAAGTTCCAACCTGGACATCGATTCCCATGCTCGCTGCTACTCAACTGACATCCCTACGAGAGAGAGCGAGGCTCTACCTTGGTAAACAACAACAACCACCACCACCACAACGACCACCACCACAACGATGAGAATTTCTCACCTCGGATTTCAGTGCAAGCGCGCACACGGCAGCTTCCTGTTACCTCGCGACAGCAGGAAGTAGTATGACGTCACTTCCCCCCCACGAGCGGCTCTCTAACTGAATAAATTATATGCTTAGTTTTTTCGGTAAAGTCACGTTGAAGAGAAACAACAAAATAATAATATATATTTTATATTTATATTATAAGAATATGAATTACTGCAGTCACGCAAGCTTTAAATCAAAATTTGGTTAAATTATGTTAATGAGGCCGGCCCAAATGTCGAGGGATGGGGGCGTGGGCGCTGAACCCGTCGCAATAAACTCGCGACGGCTTTAACGGACACATTATGTTAATGAGCTACCAGTCACTGGGCGTAGCTTTGCCCAAATAAGGATTGCAACTGGAACGATATCGGCAGTGACCCAAGCGGAGGTGACGTCACGCTCAAGAGCGCGGTGGACGGGGGTGGGGTGAATACCTTGGTGACGTGAAATCACTAGCGAGGCTCACATGAAATTGACTTTTCCAAGACAGAGGTTCTTTGTAAGCCATCTGGCTACCATGAGAGATTCGTTCATGAGGCTATCCACATATACAAGCACAGAGACAATTTCAACCGAGAAGATGGATTCTGGCTTAGCAATCATTGGAACGATTTGATAAACCATTTCAGGTCTTAATTGATTATTCATGCTTACAGTGGCTTTCAGACAGCATACATTAATTTTTCGTCTCCCCCCTTCTCTTTTCAGAACATAGATGGACTAGTCCTTCTAAATAAACTGCCAAATCGCTGCGCGTGGTGCTAACGTTTTAAAAATAAATAAATACACCGTTAAAAAATAAATACATTTATGCAAACCGACACACCTGATGACGACCGTTTGTGTTATGGTCAAAACGTCATGAGAATTTTTATTGTTTTATATATATTTTATTATTTTATTGTTTCCCTTCAACGTGACTTTACCGAAAGAGCTAAGATTACGGAATATCATTTGGGTCATTTTTTTTGTTACTCAAGATGAGATTTCTGATATTACTGCGTTTTTTTAAATATTTACATAACCAATAAAAATTTGTGTTTTTTTTATTCAGACCGCGCCAATGCCAACGCGAGTGTTTATTGTTGATGGTGAGTTTTGTAAATCCGTCGTACGGTAAAAAGAATAAAGTTTTCCCCGAAAAAAAATAAAAATCTCTCCGCCTTGGAGCCAATCAAGTTTCAGTTTCTCCCCTCCCACGTGACGCGGAGTTTTCTGGCTCCTCCCCCTCCTTGCTCGCCGCCATTTTGAGAGTCGTGAGGGAGGTGAAGCCTGCGGCCTTGACAACGACGAAGATTCACCAGGGTCAGTGACAACCTCACACTCACACACTGTGACAACCTCACACTCACACACACACTGTGACAACCTCACACACACACTGACAACCTCACACTCACACACTGTGACAACCTCACACTCACACACACTGTGACAACCTCACACACACTGACAACCTCACACTCACACACACTGTGACAACCTCACACTCACACACACTGTGACAACCTCACACTCACACACACTGTGACAACCTCACACTCACACACACTGTGACAACCTCACACACACACTGTGACAACCTCACACTCACACACTGTGACAACCTCACACTCACACACACTGTGACAACCTCACACTCACACACACACTGTGACAACCTCACACACACACACTGACAACCTCACACTCACACACACACACTGACAACCTCACACTCACACACTGTGACAACCTCACACTCACACACACTGACAACCTCACACTCACACACTGTGACAACCTCACACTCACACACACTGTGACAACCTCACACACACTGACAACCTCACACTCACACACACTGTGACAACCTCACACTCACACACACACACTGACAACCTCACACACACTGTGACAACCTCACACACACACACTGACAACCTCACACTCACACACACTGACAACCTCACACTCACACACACTGACAACCTCACACTCACACACTGACAACCTCACACTCACACACTGACAACCTCACACTCACACACACTGACAACCTCACACTCACACACTGACAACCTCACACTCACACACACTGACAACCTCACACTCACACACACTGACAACCTCACACATTGACAACCTCACACTCACACACACTGACAACCTCACACTCACACATTGACAACCTCACACACACACACACTGTGACAACCTCACACTCACACACACTGACAACCTCACACACACTGACAACCTCACACTCACACACACTGACAACCTCACACACACACACTGACAATCTCACACTCACACACTGACAACCTCACACTCACACACACTGTGACAACCTCACACTCACACACACACTGTGACAACCTCACACTCACACACACACTGTGACAACCTCACACTCACACACACACTGTGACAACCTCACACTCACACACACACTGTGACAACCTCACACTCACACACACTGTGACAACCTCACACACACACTGACAACCTCACACTCACACTGACAACCTCACACTCACACACACTGTGACAACCTCACACACACACACTGACAACCTCACACTCACACACTGACAACATCACACTCACACACACACACTGACAACCTCACACTCACACACACACTGACAACCTCACACTCACACACACACTGTGACAACCTCACACTCACACACACACTGTGACAACCTCACACTCACACACACACTGTGACAACCTCACACTCACACACACTGTGACAACCTCACACACACACACTGACAACCTCACACTCACA